AAGAATACACAATTCAAAGATCTTTAGCCACGGGCGACTGAATGGCCGGCATATTATTAAACGACGACGATCCGCGCCTGCTGTGCATCGACGGGCTTCTGCTATTTTGCAGCTTATTTCCATTTTTGCCCCCGGGACTCAAACCCGACCGAGCAGCCGTGTTCATTGCTTGGAAATGCGAACTCGAGCAAGCCATGTCCTTCAGGTTAATCAGTGGCTCGATTGCCTCCACAACTTCACTCATTGCAGGCCTGATTTTCGCGTCGCGGGAGAGACACCTGGCCGCCAGCTGGACTGCCTGCTGGGCCCCACGGATCGAGAACCGGCCCTCGAGAAGTGGGTCGATCAGCCGGTAGAATCTTCGCCTCTCGGCCAAGTAAGGCCGGGCCCACTCGACAAGATTCTGTTCGCCAATGGGCCGAGTTTTGTCCATTGACCTTCGTCCGGTTAGTAGTTCGAGGAGCACCACGCCAAAACTGTACACGTCACTCTTAGCTGTCAGGTGACCTGGCATCATAATGTATGTATATGATGAGTTGCACTCGAATTTCAAGTAAAATTACCATTAAGTACGTATATAGAAAAATATTGTAATATTTATGTATAAGGGATATTTTAGTAATTCACTAAAATTATCATTAATTTACTAAATTGGTTATGATCCAATTTCGTTGGTTAAATTGAGTTATTTTGAATAAAGCTGATTGAGTGGATGTTTCGAGTTTGTAGTTAAATAAATATTTAAAATGTAAAAATTAAAATTGACTGGATATTTTCTTGCAATTTTAACTGTTTGCTTACACACCTGTCATTACATACTCGGGCGCAGCATAGCCGTACGTTCCCATCACGCGAGTCGAGACGTGTGTTTTGTCACCTTCAGGGGCATCCTTGGCAAGGCCGAAATCGGAAAGCTTTGCATTATAATCCTAAAAACAATATAGCAATAATACATAAATGTAAAGATTTTCAAGATTTTTCAAAAGTAAATGAATAAAATGCAGAGGATATCTTTGTTGCATTCGTCATCACACACCGCATCAAGCAAAATATTTGACGTTTTGAAATCTCGATATATGACTGGTCTTTTAGCCTCCTCGTGAAGAAAAGCGAGACCCTTTGCTGCATTCAGTGCGATTTTCATTCGTATAGACCAAGGGAGAGGCAGTGATCCTATAAAAACTCGAAAATAATGAAATTGAACCATAAGCAAAGCATGAAAACTCAAGCATAAGATGAAATGTTTAGGGTGTGTTTGCTTATAATTTATTTCAATTTGTTCTCAAAATCTAACTCAACTTTAACCCAACACATTATCTTCAATATTATCAATATAATTAAACAATATCAACCAATCATTCGTACATATCACATCAACTTTAATTTCACTATTCATCTACTCACATAATTTTAACTAACCATCACTTCACATAAATCCTCTCATATTTTTATATCAAATCAACTTTAATTATTTTATTATAAATATTATTTTAATATAAACTCAAAATTCAACTTTTTTTGGCTAATAAAATAAACTCGTTTTGAGCATGTGCTCATTGCAACAAACAGAATACAAAAATGAAACTGCAGAGAAGAATTGTAAGAAAGATTTTGAATTGTCAAGAATTTGCAAAAAATTATTACGATTCGTATCACCAAAAATGAAGTTGGATACTGACATTTACTCCTACTTTCTTGAATATTTAGACAAGCATTTAAATACATACTCTTGAACAAGTGATTCTCCAAGCTTCCTCTAGACAGGAACTCATAAACTAAGAGTCTTTGGTCATCCTCTATGCAATAACCGATTAATTTGACCAAATGCGGATGAATTAGCTCGCCAAGATAATTTATTTCTGCCTGCAATAATATGATATAAAAACCCATGAGTAATGCAAAGACAAATCTAAATTATTCAAGATTTATAATTAAACTACCATTGAGGTTTAGCCTAATCATCAAAAGAAACAAAAAATAAAATAAAATAACATTTCAAAGAAGAAATGATATTTTGTAAAAATGGGACCGATAATATTTTGAATTTGAAATAGTAATATTTTGTAAAAATGGGACATATAATCATCTCTTTCTTTTATTATATATAAAGTGAAGGATAAAAAGTAGTTTCATACTAGCCACTCTTTATGTCCTTGAAGTCCGTCGTGATTGAGTGTTTTTACAGCAACAGTAAGTCCTGAACCGGGTTTAACTGGCGTGCTACCATTTTTGTTAATCCAACCTTTAAAGACACAGCCAAATCCACCTTCTCCTAGTAGATTATCGGACCTAAAATTCCTCGTACAAATTTTCAGCTCATTATAAGTGAATTTACGAAGCTGTGAAGATATTTTTAATTCCTCTTCGATCTTAGGTGTTGATGGGACACTTTCTCCATTGCTGTTAGTTGAAGATGACAACATAACTGGAGCCACCGGTTGGTCACCACTCGTGTCGTTTGTGAATTTGCTTTCCGCTGATAAAAAATTAAATAAAATGTAAATTTTTAATGATTATATTTCAAGAACCAGAAAATGTCAAATTGCTAATGTAAGATAGATTACATAGAAACATTTATTTTTTAGAACTTGTTACAAGAATATTAAATGCAAGTCTTTCAGGAATTTAAATGCATTTTTTTTTTTTGTTCAATCTAACAAGTTAGATGTGCCACCATAAATAAGATTGTCTGATTCATGCCTTGTAAAGATTGAGGAATATATATATATCATGCTAATGTCTCTATTTATGCTACATTGCTACCCCATAAAGTTTTTTCCAAACTAACATGTCTTTAAAGTTTAGACAAGTTTTTCTACAGGGCAAAGTCAAGAAAATTGAAAAGGGTCCACATGCTATAACAGTATAACCACTTTTATCTAATGAGTAATATGAACTACTCCATTGGTTCAACANAAAAAAAAAGGAAGGCCAATTATCAAGGGCCATTTTCCAGTTACAAGTTACAACTTCATGGCGCTGTTGAGAAGGGCACAAATTTTAATCCAAACATAATTGTTCTTCAAGTACAAATATGTGTATAAGGCGAAAACTGAAAACAGAAAGTTATCAAGAATTTAGAGATTAAAGATATGTAAGCCACGGAAATTATGATAAAAGGAACTCGAAGCCTAACAACATTTAGCGTAACTAAATACACTCGTTGACAGGATTATCAGCAAGATACACCACAACATTTGATCAATACAGCAAAATAATCGTAGGACTAGCTAAAATATAATCATTATTTTGATCAATACAGCAAAGTAATCACAGGATTAGCTAAAAAGTCCCTTATTTTTAAGTAATTAACCCCATTCGCAAACCATATTCACATCTCATAGACATTCATCATTCATTTTTCACTATTCTGCATACAAATACAAGATACAAATAGGAAAACGAAAATATAAATTTATTCAAATGTATGAAAAAAAAGGATAAGAGGCCAATCGTACCATACTCGGTGCTCGACCCACTAAGAGAGCTATCGGCTTTCGGCCTCGTGGCCATACACCTCCCGAAAAATCTGAACCTCCAGCATCCATTTTCACCAGCCACATCATCATAATCTTCTTCATAAAGGATTTTTCTCCTTGCCTTCGATTTTGAATTGACCACATTCATAGCACCACTAAAAGCTTGAGCTCCCAACCCCATTCTCTTCTAAACCTAAGCACTAAAATCCCATCNTTACACCCAACTCGTCAACATCTCATCTATTTTCCACATTTTCTATTTAACCCAACTATTATTTTTCTTAAAATTCTGAGCTTTTGTTGAGCTGGGTTTGCTTCCTACTCCAAAAGATACCAAAACTAATCGGATAAGACAAAAGGGCACATACAGAAATCAAATAAACTCAGAGAAGCTCAGGTTTTAACAATAATTTTAACTAATGAATAAACAAGACCACAACTTAACAAATATTCAATTACAGAAAAATGTTAAAGACTACGGCTAAAAAAAACTCAAGCCCGAATGAGAAAATTTCAGGAATGGTTTAAAAATGCTGTCTTTGGATCAACCGTACAAGGAATTCGCACCACACGCCAAGATTTGAAAATGCACCAGACACGAACTGAAACTTACAACGTAATAAGACCAAAAATTTAACCTTTTGTCAGAATGTGCATTTCAAAATATCAGAAACAAACATCGGTCTTTGTTTTACAGTCCCTTCACTTCAGATTCACTCGCTCTCTCTTATCACACCACATTCAAATTACCAACAAAAAGAAAAAGGGCCTATTGTCAAAACTCAAAAACAACGATTTTTCCAAAATAGAGACACTGGGACACGAGCTGTTCTCGAGGCAGAGCAAAAGAACAAAAGCAAGTGTGTGAGAGTGAATGTGTGTGTTTGTGTGTTTTTTGGGGGAGAGAGAAAGTTTAGCGTTTTGCGTGAAAGGAGTGAGGACGTGTATTTACACTATTTAGTGCAAAAATGCATCGAATACGAAAATTAGAAAATTAAATTTATTACAAAAATAATTAAATTATATCGTGATACAAAAACTATAAAATCAAAATTGAACCGGAATATTTTTATGCCAAGATAATCAAATTAAACGGCACTGAAATACTTGATTCTTTATACATTTGTATTTCTTTTTTGTATTGTTCTTTGTAAAATCGCACCGAATGGTGTCAAGAGTGCACAAAAAGGAACAAACATCTAAACGGAAATTTTCTAAATTTTAAAAAAAAATCAAATTTATTAAGAAAATAATAATCAAAACACGCAATATAAAAATAACCAAATTAATTAAATTGATTTTTTACACTAAATTAATCAAGTTAAACCGCTAAAAAGATGCGTAGTTTCTATGTTTGTCTTTACTTTCTATACACTTGTATTTAATTGGGTTGTGGATCGGTACAAAATCGTATCGAACCTAATTAAAAAACAAATTTATGATTAATAATAAGCGAATCGCAAATATAAATTAAAGAAAACGAGCTGAAACCAAATAAAAACTTTTTCACATTAAAAAAAGTAACATTAAAATAAAGTAAAATTATATTACATCGAACTGCAAGATTCAATTGTAGTTTTCGAGTTTGGTTTAGAAAGAATCTAATTATAATACGTTGAATTGAACGATTCGATTTGATTTTTCCGTTTTTGTTCGATTTATCAAAAGGGAATCTCAGTATGGGCCCCACCTGTGTAGAATCACTGGTTCAATTGGCGGGTGAGATTGTCAAAAATATGTGTGGGATTTCCTACAATTTGGACTTGGCAAATTCCCTTTTTCTGGCAAAAAAATATTGTCATGAAAACTTTATCTCGTGTGTGTGTGTGTGTTTAAATTAAAAATCTTTGGGCTGGGATTTTGTATAATACTGAGCATGTGTTTTTTTGGTCTTTTGAATTGCTTTATTTCCTTATCGTGTCACCTTTCTCGGCTGGATTTTTGAAATTTCAAAGATTAAAAATTTAAACACGCTTCTCGGACTAATTTTTTTTTTCTCTTAAAAAAAATATTATATACCTCCAACTGTATTTAAGGTTGATTAGAGTTGTAAACGAGCCCAGTGAACTCGAGCTCCGTCTCAAGCTTTTATCGATCTAAACTTGTGGACGAGCTAAGTTTAATTCTTAACGAGTTGATTATATTAAAAGTTCATCAAATTATATAAAAACTTTTATTTTTCAAGTAGTAACCAGACAAGTCGAGCTCAAATGTTAACGAGTCGACTCGAACTCATGAGCAGCTTCATTTCATTTAACATATACAGGTTCAGAATATTTAACATCACATTTCTTTTATGTTCCAAATCCAAATTGCTATCTCATTTTTCTTTTAACAACTACACAGAGATTGCCTCGTATTGTATCTGGACCGGACAAGTTACGAAGCCCATATTGAGTCGTGATTTAAACGGCCCACTCTACTAACATAAGCAAAATTGGGCTTTTATATTCCCACATTGTATGGCCCTTATTTAGGATAACCCAATTGCTTGAGCCCATAACTGTCTAGCGGTCCGGGGCCTCCGGGCACTGACCATTCTGTAGGAAATTCAAACAAACCCAAATTGTTTAATTGAATAATTGAATTAGATAATAAAATATTCTAAAGTAATATATATACATATATGAACATATATTTTAATTTTTACAGAAAAAACTGCATGTTTCATAATTTTGTGGCTCAAAGGTGAAAATTCAATATTTTGTTTTTTCACAAGAAATTGCAGTTTTATTTAAATATATTGCTAATTAGTTCAAAGGGAATTATACTTCAGTATATTGAAATTCAAAAACAGCATATATATAGTAAAAAATGATTATAACTTCTTCTGTTGTTGGCACAGAGATAAAAGGACACAATGATTATAGAGATAGACCCATTTTCCCAAATCAAAATACTTCTGATCCTGTTTCCTCTGTCCTTTCTCGTCTCATTGGCGTCTTCCCTTCTTGGAATTTGTGCTTCGATTCCTTTTTTTTTTTTAATTCAATTATTTATTTAATTTTCATTTATTTATTATTTTTCCTGCAACTCCATCTTCAATCATCCCTTTAATTTTAAATAATTAAATTAATTAATGAATAATATCTGCATGCAGATGCAGTACCTAATCCCCATGCCAGGAGGAACCTTCTTATAAAGCAATATTTTGCTATTTTTCAAATAATAATAATAAAATGTAGGGTGATTGGATATTAATTCAACTAAAAAATTGATTTTTTTCTATAATTATAGTTAAGTTTGAAAAAAAGGTGGTATGGTTAGTTGTTAGTAAATATATTAAAATAATATTTAAAATAAAATAATTAATGTTGATTTGATGTAAAAGTAGGAAAAAATGATTATAAGAGATGGTTAGTTAAAATTATGTGAGTGGATGAATAGTGAATTAAAGTTGGTGTGATGTATAAGAATGATTGGTTGATATTATTTAATTATATTGACAATATTGGAGACAGTAAAGTTGAGTTAAAATTGAGTTTTGATTGATTTATTTGTTACACAATCTATATCCAATCGCCCCCTAAAGTTGCTGTTAAACAATGCTAATAGGGACGATAAAATATTTTTAACATAAGTATACATTGCAGTTATAAATGTGTGACGGGTCTACACACCTAACTTTTAAGCTGCATCACATAAAAATTTGTGTAAAATTTAGTTTAGTACTCTGTACTCCACAAAATTGGACGATTATCCTAACTGTAATTAAATTAGCTGATAGCTTGTAGATGATTGAATCAATAATTTTGACTAACTGATTTAATTATATATAACCACTAGTTTTACAATCCCAGCTCAAAATAACTCATATATTGAGTATTTTTTTATTTTTATTTTTTGGAAATTAACTAATTTGATTCAAAAAATTATTTCAAAACTGGTAGATATTAACCATTAAATTAGAGGTTGTTCAACTTCTAATTTACCCTCAAAACTGGAATGAAAAATGTGAAAATGCTAGGAAAAGAGAATCTTCTCCTTTTTCAAAATTTTCCCCTTTTATCTGTACATGCACATTAGTTATGGCCCATGCCAGAGTATATATGAGTCCCACTTAGCCAGATTTTTCATATTTGCATGTAACAACATGGCTCTTTCTCTTCATAATTAATTATATCCTTTTAATTAATTAAATTAATAACATCATTATTTTATTCTCCACAAGAAAAGGTTTCCACGATGTGGCCCCACATCAATTTTTAAACTTAAAATCGGAGTATTTATATCTATAAATTATTCACCATAAATCCAAAAACAACATGAAAATTTCAAAAAAAGAAAAAAACGTAGCTTATGCCGCGTTAGGCTCACTGGAAATTCTGGAGCTCTGGCCACGGCCAGAATCCAGGGTTTTCATCAATTCCGCCAAACACGACGTTACCGAAGCACTCGTTGGGAACCGGAGCTTGCTGATGTGGCGTTGATGAGGTGTGGAGTAGCTGAGTCAGGCCTATGGACGAGTTGAAAACGGCATCGTTTTTGTTGCTTTGGTGATTATTATTATTATTATTATTATTATTATTATTGTGATGATGACTAGGACACAACGTGCTGTCTGTAGAGGTCGTGTTGAGGTTGACGTGGCAGCTGTTTTCTTCACTCCCCGGGCTCCAGTTGGACCCTTGCTCTTGGTCTTTGTTCAGGTTGATCGGGCCGCCCGACCCAGTTGAGTCTCGGGTGGTTTTTAGTGACATTAACTGCAATTAATTAATTTTTGTGTTAATTAATCAAACGATAATAATTATCATTAGCAATCATAATTAATTAGTTTTAATGATGAATCTCATTGACTTCTATTAATCAATAATGAGGTCATGATTTGTTGTACTAGTACTACTATGGCTAGCTAAAACACATAACAAAAATTAATAAAAAAAAATTAAATTAAATTTATTGATCATATCATATAGTATCAATCAAATCAAACTATACTAATAATTTTCATAAAAGCANAAAAAAAAAAAAAAAAAAAATACCTGTGCTTGAAGCTTCTTGTTCTGTGACTTGAGTGCATCATTATCAGCCTTAATCGCCTCGAATTGTCTCTTCAAGACATCATAATCCCTCTCGAGCTGCTTGGTTTTCCAGCGGGCCCTTCGGTTTTGAAACCATATCGCGATTTGTCTGGGCTGAAGCCCGAGGGCCCGCGCCAGCTGCATTTTCCTCTCGGGCTCCAGCTTATTGCCCGACTCGAAACTCTTCTCAAGGGCCTTCACTTGCTCCAAGTTCAGCCTTCTCTTCTTCTCCCCCAACATGTGGGACCCATCGTCTGACACGTCATCGTCCGGCTGGACTTCAGAAAACGACATCGACCTCCTCATCAAGAAATCCGGCACTACACCTAACAAAATCGGTAATTCATAATAAATAACCGATAATAAAAAAAAAAAAAATACTGAATGTATATATATATATATATATATATGTGTGTGTGTGTGTGCAGAAAATATCCACTAACTAATTGCAGAACAAAAAAATGTTGTGGTAGAAAATGTTCGTGATTTGATTAGAATAATATGCAGAAAATATCCACTAACTAACCGCATATCAAGAAAAATGTCGAACGTTCGTGCAGAATGTTAATGATTATGATTAGAATACGCAGAAAATATTCACTAACTAACTGCAGAAAATTTTCGTGATTTGGTTATTAGAATATGCAGAAACTATCCACTAACTGTAGAACAAGAAAATTGTAAAACATGTCTCGTGCAGAATGTTCACGATTTGATTTGTTAGCGCGCAATTTTGAAGAAAGATAGATTATCAAATTGACTTAGACTTTCGTGCCAAACGTTTGTGATTTGATCTGTTAGCGCACGTTTTTCTGCAATCGCAAAAGTTACTGAGCAAAATTAATTAACATCACATCTAACAATTATTGTCATAAAATAAAGGATATTTTTTGTGTATATATGAATATGTGTACCGTGAAAATCTTGAGGCCATGCCGATTGAGAGTCGACTGAGGCGGGGAGAAAGGCCATTCGGGCCGGAAATCGAGGCCCGAAAAAGAGTTCGGTGGGCTTTAAAGCGTGTGAATTTACACAGAGGTGTGTGGGTTTTTGATGAGTTATGGGGTTTGAAAATCAGAAGGTTTGAGTTGAGAACATGGGTGGCAAAAGACTGGAAAAAGCCAGCGATTATCTGTGTTCGGACAGTGGAGATGAAGAGAGAGAAGGTGAATTTAAAAGTGTTTATTTATTGCACCAAAGATGCCTTACCCAATTGATGCAATTTTTGATGATTTTCTTTTCCTTTTTTTTTTTTCGAAAGAAAGAATAAATTTGTTATTGTTATTATTGAGAAAAAAATGTTTACTAGCATAATGTATGGAGTTTTTATTAAATAAATTGTGATAAAATTATTTAATATTTATCATAATGCAAAGCAATGCTCGTTGAATTTATACTCCAAATTATCAAATTAGTGTATTAATAAGGGTTCATGTTAGGCATATATATGGAGCTGTTAAAAATAAATAAATCTCAGCTCGTTAAGTCTTTGAGATAGAAATTTTTATTTGAATTTATATTGCTCGGGGATCAGTTCGATAACGCTCGAGTTTGACTCGGTAAGACTCGAGTTTGGTTGGCTAATATTGATAAACGAGTTGAACCCGAGCTCGTTTACTGACTTGTTTAGTTAACGAGATGACCCGAGTTTGGCTCGAGTATCAGGAGCTCGAGAACGACTCATTTACACCTCTATGCATATCTAATGGCAAAACAATCAACATCCATATTTTTTGTTTAGACATGCATGATTTAAAATGATCATTTTATAGCATAAGAATGCATTTTATATATAAAACGAATATATATGCATTTTTTATTAAAAGAATGCAGTTCAAATCGTTAGGGAATGTTTGGATACAAATTTTTCTAAAAAAGTCTAATCATTTTTAACCAATCATTTTGTTAATTCAAATTTAACCCAACCTCACTGTTCTCAATATTATCAATATAATTAAATAATATCACTCAATCATTCTTATACATTACATCATCAACTTTAATTCACAATCCATTCACTCACATCACTTTAACCAACCGCCACTTCATATTATCTCTATTTTACTTTATATTAAATCAACTTTAATTATTTTATTTTAAATATTATTTTAATATAAACTCAAAATCCACTAACAACTAACCATACTACTTTTTTCAAAATTAATCATACCAAATTTTAAGAAAAAAAATCAAACAAAATCAAAATATTTTTATATTAGAGCATCCCCTAAATAGTCAGGCCAGCTCATTCAAAAATTTGAGAAAGTTAAATGGGTGTTTATCATTTAACAAGGGATATTAATATTTTTTCTTTTATAATTATTTTTAACGATGAAATTTTGTGATGGATTCATTTTTGTGTGGAGTGTTACATCTTTTTCGCCAAACATTTTTATGTTGATATGGGGAATTAATGATTGAGCCATTTTGTTTCGTTTGAAACAGACAGAAAAACTCGCATATGATATTCGAGCATCGAGATTTTAAATATTTTGCTTTTACAAAAACCACTCATTTCGTTTTCTACCACCTTTCATTGCCTCATATCATCGAGCACTCCAATAGTTTAGATTAATTTTATGAAGTATTGCTTATTTAAGTATCACATTATATAAATTTAAAAGTTATATTAATTAGTTACTTTCAGTCAATCGTTAAAATATATATTAATATACAAACACAATGGATTTTTTAAATGATGATTGTTTTCATCATAAAAGTNAAAAAAATATAAATTGTAGTGCATTGTAAATAGGTATTAGATAAGATGAACCATATGACTAGTATATTTCTCGAGACTTACTGTTATCCTAATTAAATTGATTGTCTAATATTGTGTTTGTAGATGTGTCAATACTAAATATCATAAATTATTATCAGTTCAAATTATTGTGCATAAAAGTAGATTAGAAGTGTACAAAAGTTAATTAAATAATAAAAAAAGAATTCGAAACGTTTCCATATTTACTAAAGAGAAATTGAAAGAGGCTACAATAGAGACCTAAATTTAATTCAATCTTACATTTTAATTTAATATTGTGTATATATATATATGTTTGTCTGTATATATTATTTTTTTTTTCAATTTCTTTTTTAAAGTATCAGACCTCTAAACAATTAAATTTCAGACCTTATCCATATGTCATAACAATGGAAGCCATATCAGCCATGCCTTCTATAAGCTCATCTCTAGCAACATCCCATATTTTAATCTCCTCTTGAATATTAAGACTGCTATTAATTTACCAATTTATTTATTTATTATAAGTGATAAGTTCCAAATAAAATTAATTTCAACTACAAATTATAATCTTGACCCTCAATTGGATAGTAATTGATTATTCATTATATCCCAACAAACTAAATGTCTCAANAAAAAATAATTTTATATCATATGAAATTATATTTTTATTTATTTAAATTTACGATATTTAAGTGTGAAAGTATGTACATATATTGTTGAAAGATAATCGACTAATAGAAAATCTACAAATATACATAGAATCCTTTTCTATTTGGAATTCATAGGTTGAAATCCTTGAATTCTATGCAAAGACCAAAAAACACCTAATTGATTACATCTCTAATTAATTTTGCATACCACAAAATGGTGTAAATTTATAGCATTGAGGGCAAGGAATATTTTATTGTTTCTGAACAGAATATTATAGCTGTGTTTCCCTATATTGAAGTCTATTATACTTCAACCAATTTCAACAAAACGTTAAAAGGTAGAATGGTGTTAGGCAAAAGATAGATAAGTTTAAAAAATAAAAGATAAAATGTCTAAGAATTTTTATTGGCACCATATAAACGCATTCTATAAAAAAACAAACCTATGAAAGTTGGGTGAAACCTAAAGCACCCAAACTAGGAATTTACTTGAAATTAACCACAAATGTCACACTCAGAAGAATGATTTTTTTTTATTAAATCTTGCAAACATATGGTTTGATAGTTTGGTATAATTTAATGTGGTAAAGAGTTTCAATGGGAAAAAATGTCTTCATGGTGGGTATCTATATGATGTAGCTTCTAGGAGCTCATGGCATTAATGTAGATTTGTAAAAAATTTATTTGGGGATTTTTTATATTTTATTTGAAAAAAAAAACATTTTTTTTTCTATAAAATGATTTCTTTCTTTTCTATTTGGAGAATGATATTTTATCAAATTTTAGAGGGCTATTCGAAGAATTTGAATCAGAATTTTTGAGAATGATCTATCTTGCTAAAAACATCCATTACATATAAACTAACAAAATTTTGGTGAAAATAAGTTATTAAATAAATAATATTAATAATAATTCATTATAAAAGAGTTAAACGTGGACAATAATATCGCAATATAAACTAACAAAGTTTTGGTGAAAATAAGTTATTAAATAAATAATATTAATAATAATTCATTATAAAAAAGTTAAACGTGGACAATAATATCGCAGAAAAGACGTAAAAAAACATTCACATAATATCATCTGAATACTTTCAAGCAAAGTTTTACTAAATATCGACAATATTCAACTTATGTAGTAATCACTCTATTTCTCACTTTCGAACACATTTTAATATTATATACCATGGACCAACTCATTTTGTGACTATATAATTATATTGTCTCTAAATTACAATTTAAATTAATAGTATAAAAATGACGTTCATAATCCTCGTTGCAAAATTATATCAATACTTTTAATTATATCAAATTTTTCATATTGAATGGGCTCCAAATTCGATCTCTTGGCACTTAAAAAGCGTCAGGACATTTTCCCGGCAGTAGACAATTTTGTCGTTAAAGTCAGAAAACGTGCTTACCTAAGCAACGACTCAATAATTTTATATCAATAGTGTATTATGGATTTTTAAAAAAATCAAATACCTTATATGTAATAAAAAAAAATAAAAAAATCACTTTCATTCTATCTAAATAAAAGACTCATTCAAAATATACATAAAAAAGATAAAAAAAAGATAATATATTATTATACATAATCAGACATCATACTTCTTGGTCGTCAAATATACTCTACTTATTCAAAACTTCCTCTCAAACTTACACTTCAACTTCAACACTCGAGTTCAATTCTAGCTATAATACAACTCGCACCTGAGTTCTTACTTCTTCAGCTCACAACTCGAGCTTTTACTTCTTCAGCTCACCACTCGAGCTCTAACTTCTCTAGCTCACGACTCGAACAACACGATTTCTAGTTCACACATCTTCGAGTATGACTTTTTGCTAATGTTAGCAAACCCATCAAATAACATGGTGTAACATTAAATAGGGACAACTTATTCCATAACCAAACCCAATTTATTTGCTAATGAAAATGAACATGTACAATTGAATGGAATTTAACTCAAATGATCAATCTTTTTGGGACAAGCAGTCCTAATTTGAGTTTGTTATATGTTTATTAGAATAATATATTTTTTTTTTTTTGTTAGCTACACAATATGAATATTTAAATTCAAAAATTAAATAATTGAATACAATACATTGCTTTTAGTATGTGGTGAGGTATGGGTGTTATTAGGCAAAGTTGAGGCCTAAAAATAAGCTAAATTCACATGGGAACCTTAGTTGGAATGTTTTTTTGGTTTTTATTTTTTTCTTGGGAATCTGAAAGGCTCTATTTCTCTGCATATTTTTCTTTCTGCACTGTATCTTCACCCTCACATGCTGCCCTCTGCCCATGTGCATCTTCCCAATAAATAATATGATGTTCTGAAATTTTTATTTTATATTCCATTTTTTTTTCTCTAGAAAAAGTTCAATGAAACTTTATTATATATATTAGTTGTAGCAAATACAAAATAAGTGGGTTGTTTTATACTTGTAGAATATTTGTGGAAGGCAAATTGAAGATTAGAAGAAGCATCTATTGGCAATAGGATTCTTTTTCTAGGGATTATTAAATCCAAAGGTTTATAATTCTTTTGGATTTGAATTATGTGTTCAGGCTGACCATAGCATGACTTCATGTCTTGTAAAAAGTTTTTGGACAACTCTTTTTTTATCAATTGTTAGCAAGTTTAATTAAAATTGGATAAGATTGTTTGGTTGGACCTGTAATTGAACCTTGTATCAACAAATTGTTTGTTGATAGAGAATTAATTAGCCAATTGCACTATTTTTTTCTTAAATTATTTTAAAATAATAAATAAAAATTATATTTTAAAACATATTATATAATTATAAACTATTATCAATTAATTAGCCATCTATATACTTTAAATTATCAAAATATTAAAGTATAAAATTCGTTACTTATAATACTATTAATATTAATAAATTAAATACGATCCAACCATTAAAACACTAACCTAATAAATGAACCATTTAAATTATGGCTTCATTATGATAATCGACCATAACCTTGCTTATTAGTAATGATAGATTATTTGTGTTGATAGTTTTTTCATTTGATTGTTTACTTATCACAGATTTTTTGAAAAATAAAAAATAATAAGTCACAAGGGATCCACTGGGCTGGAGTCCAACCAACATCTACACAAGCCAACAAGCCCATTACTTAGTTTGCTAGCTTTATTGAGAAAATTACACCATCTATTTTTCAATTTCATTTGTTTATACTTTTTTTTAACAAAACAATAAATTTTATAAGTCTCAAAAAGAAGATTTTACAATAAATATCGAAGGCCTAATTGGCCATTATAAAAGCACTAAGGAGGTGGAATCGAGAGGAATGCTAACCATAGCACCCTAGACAATACAAAACCAACTGGAATTGGATCCACTTATCGGTAGTAACCAGAAGCAACTGAAATCGGTATGCTGAAGCTCAATCCAGACAAACAATGAACTAAATACTCCAACGAGTGGAGAACACGCATTAAAAAATAAGTGGGTTGTTTTTTTCAGTAAATCTCTATTCCTATTATATACTAATAGATTTTTTTTTCAAAGAAAAAAATGATACGAAATTCAATTAATATGTACTAATTATCTATGGGTTATCAGTTGATTTTGATTTACCAAAATTATTAGATTTTTCTACTTCAAATATATTCATACGTTTTTAATATATATGTATCATGTTCAAATCTCACATTTTTCAAATTCAATGCTTTTTAAATTTTATGGGATATTAATGATTTGTATTTTCAAAACCTAAAAATTCGTAAATTTAAAGAGATGCATAAAGATTTAGTTAGGAAAGAGAAAAATGATCAATTTAGTTACCTAAAAAATTAGTTTGGCAATATCCTATCAAAATATTCAAATTTTGCACCATTAATCACGGGTGTGTTTTTATTTGTCACTTATAATAGTAAGTCAACCATTTATTTTTTAAGTCAAAGTTACTATTTATGTACTTTCCAGTGTTTTAAATAGCCCATTTTAGCGTGTTGTATCGCGCGCAATAACGTATTGTTCATCAAAACCGCGCTGTACCGCACATAATTTCGCATTGTTTCAGGATAGCGTGCGCTTTTATGACGTGGCACGCTTTTTACGTGAAAAATTACGCAATTTACGCTATTTTACGCTATCGCATAAAATATGGACGCTAATTCGGAAATCAATTTATAAGCAG